CATGGCTATTTCCTCCTCAATCTGCTTGATCTTGCTTTCAATGTTACCAAAGACGTCCCGGTTCCACTTTTTTTAATCTCCGGCTTTAACTTCTTTATCTTCACCTCCCAAGGCTCATCTCCCATCGCTTTCCATTCATTTTGAATCATCTGGTAGAATTTTGGGTTTGACCACCACACATCCAGGGAGCGAAACGGCTTAGGGCCCCAATTGAGAGAATCAACAGACAGGTTAATCGGCACATGATCTATCTCGAGTTTTTGATTTGGAATAATTCAAATTCAGGGAACTCTCTCAGCTAGCTTGAGCTGACAAATATACGGTCCAGGCGACTAGCTTGACTTCCTCTCCTCCAAGTGAATTTTCTCTCCTTCAGTGGTAAGTCAACCAGAGCCATATCTTCCACCCACTCAGAAAACTCCCCAATGCTTCACAAATTCCCTACTCCACTACTTCTCTCTTCTAAATGTAGCACCTCATTGAAATCCCCCATCGCCACCACTGGCAATTCTACATCATTTTTCAGCTCCATTAATTCATCCCACATTATCTTCCTACCCTGTTGAGAGTGGTCACCATACACCACCACTACCGCCACTTCATAGTTTTATCGATTTTAAATTACCACAAATACATAACCATCTACTCCCTTTAATCCTTCTAGACACCAGGAATTCATCTGTATCCCACATACATAGTATACCCCCTTTCCTTCCATTGATTAATATATTAATAAATGAGTGCAAAGAATTTTAATTTTCGGTTTACACTTACACATAACTCTTCTAATAATCTACATAACCAAGCATTTTAATTAAGAAAGCCAAACCATGTTGCTTTTTCTCATGCGCCTTTTTATTATTACCGTTACTGTGTTTTTTGTTATCAGCTCCAACCATGTGCTACGATGTCATTCCTTCTTCCTTCTTCGATCTTCTTCTTCTTCCTCTCATCATTTTTCTTCTCCTACTATGTCGAATTCCTACTTCTTTCGTTGAGCATGACGACAATGTTTTCCTTGATTGTTTCTTCGATTTTCAGGTTGAACTGTGAGTTGGGTCTTGTGGTGGATTTGTACTCTTTATGTTAGAAAAGGGATTTTCTAACTTATAATTTCTATCTCGAAAATGGTTAAACAAAAAGGTTTTTCAAATGCTTTTAAATAATTTATTCGAAAGTTTTTAAAGAACAGTTCAAGAGATTAGCATCAATCACTTGACAATTAAAAACGTTTTCGACCTATATCATTTTAGAAAAATTCTGAAAATCCTCTACTAATAAGAACCAGCGAGGACATTGTTCTCACCTCCCTACTTCCCAACATTTCAGAAAGGTAAAAAAAAACTATAGGTAACTGTTTGGAAGATTTCTAAGAGCTTGGATTCCACTATTGCTTGAAGTTGTATTAGTCATATTTTTCTCGCTTATTATAGAGGTACTTAATCGTCAAGGGAGATAAGGATTGTATTACCTTTGTGTTATTCGTATAAGTGTATTAGTTATATTGGTATTTGTACATGTAAGTATTTGTGTATGATTGTATGAAAAAGAAAAATTTCTTTGTAAATTTCAACTCATAAGTCAAAGGCTCCTATGTTAGTAAGTAGTTATATAGGCTTGTAATCATGACAACTCGGTTTTTAGCATGATCATGACATGTGAAAGTCGGGGTGTTACATTCTGTCGAAGTTTAGCCCATGGTTTTTATCCGGTTTTGAGGTTTTCCAGTTAAAAATTGGTGCAAGCTACTATTTATGCAATAGTGTCTATATAGTACTATTTACGTATATCATACGATACTATTTATTAAGATGTATATACACTGTTTACATATACAATTATCAGTATTATACTCATATATGTATACGGTGATCTATATAATTACTATTCAATTACACGGCTACTATTCACAGATACAAATTTTTTCTCACTTTTCCGTCGTGCCATGCTGGGTTGATTATTTCTGTATCTATTGTCAAATTTAAAAATTATCATAATTTTATATCGCAAAGATGCCAACAGAACCAAACACTATAACATAACCCGATAACCACTTAGTTGATTTAATAATCATATACGTCTTTTTTTGAGGTTAGGATGAATATTTTTCAAATTTTAATAAGATTTATATTTTTTCTACTTTTAAACGCAGAAAGTACTTGTTAACAATTAGGGGGAATGATTTTTTTTTATTGGAAGGAATGATTAAGTAACAATAAGTGGATATGAACAATGGAGCAAAGTGAAAAAAAAAAAAAAGACAAAGCAACAACAACAATGGAGCAGTTGCATTGACGTGATATAAATCACCAACTCAAATAGTAGTAACTACAAAGTTCCAAAACTACCACCATAGAAAAATAATAAATATTGTCACAAAAAATATTAATTTTGAATGAAAAATATAAGTATAAATCTGTTATTAGAAATAAAAAAAAATGTGCGTTAGCAACTATTTTTTTTAAAGAATAAATCTACGTGTATCATTGTACACACCTGTACACACCATTTATCAACACAGAAAAATGTAAATAATAACACAGAAATTTACATTTTTCTGTACTAATGTTTATATTTTTCTGTGTTACTAATGGTGTGTACAAGTGTGTACAATAATACATCTAGTATTACCCTTTTTTAAATTAGTATATAAATCAAGCTAACATAAAAATATTAATTGTTTTCTTTTTTATGTTAGCTTATCTATATACTAATTTTTAAAAAAAATAGTTGCGAATGCACTTTTTTTTTATTTCTAATAACATATTTATACTTATATTTTTCCATTCAAAATTAATATTTTTTGTGATAATATGTAAAAAAAATGAAGATAAAAATAATAAGAATTAATGAATTAAGAATAAAATAAAATACATAAAGTCATTAAAACAATAAAAAATAGATTAATATCCCAATGGTTGAATATTTGAGTTGAAAACAAAAAATGAACAATCAAATATGAAATTATCGACTGAGAAAATGTGGAGAGTGAAAAGATTAAAAAGGAAGAGGCTAATTGAAAAATAATGAAATTTTTACATTATTATAATTGATTAAACTAATATTAAATAAGATAAAAAAAAGCCTAGTATGTAGAAGTGAAACTACAAAATAAAAAATTTGAAATATTCCTAATTCTTCGAGATTGATTTTAGTAATAACAAGAGGCGTGAGAAATAAAAATACAAAGATATAAATAAAATAAATAGGAAAATCTATTTTTTTTTAAGTAAGGACATCGGTATAAAGTTTTCTTTATAAGAAAAAATTCTAAAATTTAGTGGGGCAAGTGCCCCTACTCTTGTTCATAAGGCCGTCTCTACCTATCAAAAAGAAAAAGAAAAAAAACCAACCATCCACGTAGTGCAGTGAAGCTAGCCAAATGTCTGTATTTGAATTACAAGAACTTTGGGCATTAAAAGCCACAAACAACTAACCAACCTAAATAAGTTTGAAATTTAGGGAGAAACATCACACGTCCCCACTTCTTTAAAATACCATCTTATTATAAGATTGGTTGGTTATTAATTTATTGGGCTATTTTACTCAATTGTCATTGTTTCAAAAACTTATTATCAAATTGTCTTTGTTTTTAAACTATTGACCTATATGTTATCGTTTTGCCACGGTGATACTTTTTTTTGGAGATACTGATTAAGAGGTGCTAAAGCGGTAATGCAGTAACTTTTTTCTGTTAGTGTTTCACTCCTTGAAGCACTTACCGCATTAGCGCTTCTTAGTCAGCATCTCAAAAAAAAAAAAATGCCACCGTGGCAAAACGATAACACATAAGTCGATAATTTGAAAACGTGGACATTTTAATAATAAGTTTTTGAAACAATGATAATAGAGTAAAATAACCAATTTATTGAGAGGAAAACATTGAGAAAGAAGAAAAAGATGCTACAGTCAAATTAAAATGACTACTTCAACCATATAAATACTTCTTAATCAGTTAATTTAGAACACCTTAATAATTATTTGATGATAAATACATTGATCTTAGACTAAAATACTACATATGTAAGGAAATCTCCTCTATTATTATTATACTACAAATGTACCATTTTAATATTACAATTATGAATTTTTTTTCCTTTTCTTTTGTTTGGTTTCCATTACAATTATTAATTATAACTTATAGGCTTATACTTGAGAATTTTTAATTCATTAAGTAAATTTAAAAAACAATAATCTAAAGTATCTCTTTCAAAACCTAAATCATAAATGTAAAAGCAAATTGTTGTGTTTGACTATTTATCATGTTTGCTATAGTAGTCATTTTAAATTTTAAAAATAACTTCATCAAATCTTTTGTCACAATATGAAAAAAGTAGCCTAGCATCACTTTAGATACGAGCAGAATGGATGATTTACAACTAGTTTTTCGAATGGATATATCATACGACGTAATGGAGATCTTGGTCTAGGTTCGGTGGTTCGCGGAATTCGGGACCTAATGATGTTCTATTCGTCACATGAACGGGAGCAGACAATTCCCTCGTCTCTCCCTTTTTCGAAAAATGGCTGTGAAAAAAAAATGATTTTCTCCTCCAACTTTTCACAAACATTAAGAACATAAATTATACTTTACCCGTATTATTATTATAGTTTATGGTTTTTAAACGTTACTTTTATATTATATGAAATTATTTAAACATTCTTTATTAAAAAAGAAGTACTGTACTCGATATATTAAATATTGACTCTTTATTTTATTATATTTTATATAAATGATGAAAGTTAAAAAGGAACTTATCTACTAATTAATTAGATTAACTACTTGTTTTTTAAAAATATAAAAAAATTAAGATAATAAAATTAAACCCCAATTATGAAATCCCTTCTCACCCACTTCACACCCTAGAACGCATCGTGTGCGTTCTTATATAAAGAGAGGTGCTTTCACATCTTTTTAGGCCGAAATGAGATGGCTGGGAGAGGGAAGGTTCCATTTTTTTAGTTTTAAGGTATTCCGGGGACTAGATCCAATGGAGACGGGATGGGACCTGTAGCTTAGAGGATTAGAGAACGTGGCTACGAACCATGGTGTCGGAGGTTCAAATCCCTCCTCGCCCACAACTAGCCAAAAAGGTAAAGACCCTTACCTCAGGGGTAGGAAAATCATGATCAGGCTAGCGGACCCAAAGCTATAGAATTTGGGTGTGGGTATTTTGTCGAAATGGCCTTACCTTACAGATTTCTTAAAAAATAAAAACTTTTTTCCTAAATGGTGGATATTTCTAAATAAAAAAGTATGTCCTAAACTTTAGCTTTTAATCCGCATATTTATACCCTTCGTAATTCTGCCTCAGCCAAGCTTGTGCAGAATAGCAGAATAAGTAACAAGTAAAGTATTTGTAGCATAGCAAAAATGCGTTCTTCTGCACTTGCTATTGCTAATACTAGTACATTGGAGAATTATGAATTGGTTAGTTTAAATAGCCCCGGACTGTGGAACAAGGGAGTATCTCGAACCCACACCGAGGTATTGACGGCGATTCTCAAATATCGCAGAACCGAACGGGATACGATGTGATAGAATGCAATAGAGACAAACAAAAGACAATGGGAACAAGTTACCTACTTTAAATGGTCAAAACGAACCTTTTCATTCTGAATTCAAGAATTCCAAACCTCCCCAAGTAGGATTTGAACCTACGACCAGTCAATTAACAGCTGACCGCTCTACCACTAAGCTACTAAGGAAAATCGGGAAATTCGATCTCATTGAGTTCAATTCCCGTTCTCAACCCATGACCAATATGAGCTTGAACTTTCCTTCGTAACTCGTGGAACTTCTTCGCAATGCCTCCGTTCCATGCCTCATCTCATAGGGAACTTCAAAGTGGCTTTATCTCATTATATTCCACCCATATCAAAATTTCACTCATTTTAGATCTCCCTCTTTGGTGTCAGTGAGATAAGAGATGTCGTTTCTAGTCTATCTCTTTCTATTTCTATATACAATTATGGAAGGTTGAAAAATCATTATATAAATATATAGATTGAAAACTAGATAATAATTTGGAGATTGCAATAGATAAAAAAAGCAGAAGATAATAAAGAACAGAGGTTTGCGATGATTTTTCAATCTTTTATATTGGATAATGTAGTATACTTATACATGAAGATAATGAATTCGATTGTTGTGGTCGGATAAGAATTCAAAGAAAATCGACAAACCCGAAGAGAAAATGAAATTGGAATCGACGAAATCCCTTGTAACGATTTTTTTTTAATTTTAAACGATGGAGGCGGCCGTTGCGATATATAAAAAACACTCGGTTTGAAAATGGCGTACGAAATGAAACGTCACAATTCATTTTTGATACATGTCAAAATGATGGAAAAGAAATAAAATCTTTTACCTATCCTCCGAATTTGTCGACTTTTCTAAAAATAATGGAAAAAAGAATAAACCATTTAACACAAATAAGAGAAAAAATCTTATATGATGAATTTACTAATTATTAGAACTCTAAAAATGAAGAAAAAACAAACAAAGCAATGAAATTTAAATTTATTTATTACCTCCAGTAAAAAAATAATTTTTGAAAAGGGAAAAGTACTGTTTTTACCACAATGGTTTGGGCCAAAAATCAGTTTTGCCACAAAGGTTTTTGTTATTAAAAAATGTCAAAAAGGTTTAACTTTGATTCAAAAAAACATATTGACGGAGTTACCCCTACACAATTATTGTTTGTTATTTTCAGTTAGTGAGGAATTTTAATTTTTTATTTGTTTTATTTAGACCAGAAGCTAACTATTTAGACCAGAAGCCAACTATCTCCACATCATAAACCCTAAACCCCCAAATTGAAAATCCCAAAAACCCTAAAGACCCAAATTTCGAAACTCTGAACCTCCAAGCTCGCTGCAAACGAAGAGGACTGAGGGCAATTTCGAAACCCATGAATGTATCGAGTATCACTTATTATCTTTTGAATCTACATCAACTAACCTTGAAAGGTAGGTAGCAGGCACCCCAGTGTCAGAGTTTCAAACTCAACCGAATCAATTTTGTATTTCGGAAACTGCTCAGCAATTATAGACTTTGCAATATTCTTTGCAGTCTTGCAAATTGCCTAACCAAGAGAACAATTAACACACTAAGCACAAATAAACAACCAAGGTACAAAGCAAAAATTGAAAGGGTCAAAGCCTATTCAAAATGCAAATACCTTGTCAAGGTATGGCCACATGCATTCAAGAAACTTGTTTAGCCAATCAATCTTTAGCAAAAACACACAAACGTGAAACATTGAATCAATAAAAACCTAAACCTAAAAATTCAACCAAAATGAAATGTACTAGTCGGATAGCTTCTTACCCTATCAAAGTCTGGATTTTTTTTTATCCAAGTGGAATCTTAGGAAACATTTTTTGCAAGGTTTCTGTGTCTTGCTCCACCAATGGCTTGATTTTAGGATCCTGCTCCCAAATCCACCATAGCATATATCAGTTCAAAATCACAAAATATTCAGCTATCACCAAAATAAATAAATAAAATGCTTCTAAGAGCCACGTTTGAATTCTCCTACATAGTAACAAGAATTACCTTAACATCAGTGGGCTGAAAGTAAATGAAAAGAAAATAGCCAGCTATGAGACCAATGTTGATCCCAACACCAAATCTAAAAAACCCCAATATGGTACCAAAGAAACCCATCTCGTTAGAAGTTCCAAGTTCGAATCTTTAACCTTATCCAGCTCCAGATCGCGATTCCTCTATCTATATACCTACTCCCACTACCACTTCATGTCACAAGAACTTCACTTTATCTTCACCCATTCATCATTCCTCAACTACAACCAAAATTTAGGGTGGAAAAAGAAGAGAGAATGTGTTTTGGTGTTTTGGAGGATTCGCGGGAAGAAAACGTTTTCATTAAGGAGTAAGGGCAATTTCGTCTTCACAGGTCTTTTAAATTAAAATTGAAACATTTTTAGCATTTTTGTGGCAAAATTGATTTTTGACCCAAACCAATGTGGCAAAAACAAAATTTTTCCTTTTTGAAAAACACTTCATTTTCTACCTCTTAGTTTTATAAATCGCATTAGCATTTGTCAACATGACTCTCACTTAAGTTTAAAAATTTATTGAGTTAGCTAAATTCTTAAGAAAAATAAAAAATATTTTGATCTCTTAAAAATCAGCCATTATATATTATTCAACTCATTTTTAATATATATTTTGCTAATTGTTCTATAAAGGAGACTAATTTATTAGTGACTATTTTTTATATATAGGTAACATGATAGTAGAAAGTAAAAAATAAAAAAAAAATTTATGCAACACATGTGTATGTTTAGATTAAAATTTGCAAATAAATGTTGGTAAACATATATTTTTGTAAAACTAATTTTTATTAAAATTAGATCAAGGTCCATGTTGTTTATATATATATATTATCAAAGGTGATTTTTTAAAAGAATTAATATTATTTGGATAATGCATCTAAAATTACATCAAAATACAATATTATCTAAAAAATGAGAGAAAATGAATAAAAAATTATTTAAAATTTTAATCTCCATCTCAAAAAATTTAAAGTTTTATTCGTTCGCAAAAATGAAATTTTAGTTTAAGAATTAAGCTCCTCTAAAATTGTTACTATTTTAGAGAGTAAAATAATATTTTAATTACCTTTAAATCAAAATAACAAAATTTATAAATAATAAAAATTATAAAATTAAAAATAATTAAAATATTATTTTATAGCTTTATCAATTTGCATTGTTATCTTTAGTTTAAGAGTAATGCTAGGGAGCTAACGTTAGGGAGCTCATAGGAAGCCTGTGGAAGATATAGAAAAGCTTAACTAACCTATAGTGGAAGTAGCCAATTCAGTTACTTCATTATTATCCTATTTTATCCTTTCTGTTTAGGCTTATAACAGTTTGCTAGTGTGCTTTCATTTTTGTATAAATACTCTATCTTCAACCTTGTATTAGGTTGAGCTCATTGAACAATAATCAGAGTAATTCAACTCATATTCTCTCTTCTATTT